GGGCACTTCACAGCCGCGACCGTACTTTGTTCCGCTCCTTCAACAGGTTCTTGGTCAGCCGCCTCCTCCTAGTCCTCCTCCCTCCTTAGATTGTCCTCCGCCTGTTGAGTCGCAGACACAGCTACCGCGTGCCTCGCCACTTCCTGGTCCTTCTCCCTACACTGGTCCAACAGGCGGTCTTACAAAGCATTGTGAGCCTTAGTCTCGTCCTGAGTCACCTGTTCGTGCTGCTCGCACTGGTCGCCGTGTTCCACGTGAGCGTCCTCCACTTGTCCCTAGCACACACTATATGACTCTGCGTCCTTCCACTGCTCCACTGCGTGTCCCTCTGCCGTCTCCTCCTGCGTCCTCTCTTCCTGTTCTTGCTGACCCGGAGTGCTGCAAGTCCTACTGTCACGTGTCTCCTAGCCACTGCTGTCACTAACCCTTCCTTTGGGTCTGCTCCTGCGTCTGCCCTAGTTGCTGAGCTTGTCGCCTTTGCTGCTCGCTGTCATCTAGACTACGCCGCGAGTCTTGTTGCTGAGTCTGCGTCTGTCTGTCCTCCGTCCGTCGGGGGTGAGTGTGCTGTTGGCACGGACGTCCTTGAGGACAGACAGGAGGACCTTGAGTGTCTTGCAGCCGTTGCGCCTCATCTCATGTCCATGCTGATTGCCCCTGAGAGAGACCCGGATGCTCCAGACATTCCGACCCCGCGCTCTTACGCTGAGGCGATCGCGAGTGAGTACTCCTCTCAGTGACAGTCAGCCATGGACGCAGAGATGGCATCCTGGAAGTCCACTGGCACTTACGTTGACGAGGTTCCCCCTCCTGGGGCGAACATCGTCACTGGCATGTGGATTTTCAGGGTGAAGCGGCCGCCAGGTTCTCCGCCTGTCTTCAAGGCTCGTTACGTTGCTCGAGGCTTCAGTCAGCGAGAGGGAGTAGACTTCTTTTAGACCTTCTCCCCCACCTCGAAGATGACCACTCTTCGGGTGCTACTGCACGTCGCTGCTCAGCGTGACTACGAGCTTCACTCTCTTGACTTCAGCACAGCTTTCTTGCAGGGCAGCCTGCACGAGGAGATCTGGCTTCGCCGCCCTCCTGGCTTCACTGGGTCGTTCCCTCCTGGTACCCAGTGGAGCCTCCGGCGGCCAGTCTATGGTCTCCGCCAGGCGCCACGTGAGTGGTACGACACACTGAGAACTACTCTTGGGGCACTTGGGTTCCCGCCTTCTACTGCTAACCCGTCCCTATTTCTGCGCACCGACACTTCGTTGGCGCCGTTCTACATCCTCGTGTACGTCGACGACTTGGTATTTGCCACTGGTGACACTGAGGCTCTCGCCCACGTGAAGCCGGAGCTGCAGAAGAGACACACGTGCACAGACCTGGGTGAACTGCGCAGCTACCTTGGCTTGCAGATCACCCGGGACAGAGCACGCCACACCATCACACTGACTCAGTCACACATGGTGCAGCAGGTCCTTCAGCGCTTCGGCTTCACCTGATCCTCGGCACAAGCCACTCCTCTGGCTACATATCACTTGCTCTCAGCTCCGCCTTTAGATGAGTCCGTAGAGCCAAGTGGTCCTTACCCAGAGCTAGTTGGTTGCCTCATGTACCTGATGACTTGCACTCGTCTTGACCTAGCGTACCCTCTTGGCCTTCTGGCCCGCTACGTGGCTCCTGGTAGGCACCGAAAGGTGCACTGGGATGCTGCAATGAGGGTATTGCGCTACTTGTGCAGTACATCGGGCATGGGGCTTGTGCTTGGAGGAGGGAGCTCAGTGGTTTTCACAGGGCACTCAGACGCTTCTTGGGTTGACGACCAGGCTACTCAGCGGTCATCATAGGGTTACACCTTCAGCCTTGGCTCTGGCTCAGTTTCGTGGCGTTCTACTCGTTCGTCTTCAGTTCTCAGCTCCAGTTGTGAGGCTGAGATCCACACCACAGCCATGGCTGCACAGGAGTTACGCTGGCTCACCTACTTGCTGAGCGACCTGGGAGAGCGGCCTCGTTCTCCTCCAGTGCTGTACGTCGACAACAAGGCTGTCATTGCCTTGTGTGAGGAGCATAGACTAGAGCACAGAACGAAGCGCATCGCTCTACGTTACTTCATGGCTCAAGAGTTGCAGCAACGTGGTCAGCTTCGTCTGCGTTGTGTGGCCACTCAGGCCAACACTGCTGATATATTCACCAAGGCACTTCAGTCTGGTGATCATCAGCGTTTCTGCACTTTGTTAGGGCTTGTGCCCACTTTTCCTCACTTGCTGTAGACTTTGCCTGTACTGTGATCTATATATATATACCTGCATGCTTGCATTGCTAGGTAGAGATCACTATGATGTTTGTGTTGCATATATGCCTCTGCATGTGAACTGGCCTTGTGGCTCTTTGCTTGTGCTCAGTTTGTATGGTGACTTTGTGATCCACCCTGAGCTTGCGTTCTCTTTCTTGAGTGGTCTTGTGACCCTTAGCCTATGGGGGTGTGTCAAACATTATATATGTTATCGCTGTGTAGGCTGCAGTGAGTTAGTCTTTAAGGGGTACACTACTCTAGGGTTTCCCACTTGTACCACAAATGTTTCTAGTTGATCACTTCTTGTTTCTGACATAGGGGCAGGGCCCTAGACGTCCAGGTGGAGATTCTAGAAGGGAGGAGTGGCCGGACAAAGGGAGGAGGAGCGCGGAGTGGCGCGCAGGTGTCCGCCGACGCAAGGAATGCAAGATGGGGCAAGTGAAGGAGGGAGTGACAAAGAGACGCGTGGGAGACCTGAGACAAGACTGTGACTGGCCATGCTGCGGAGGCAAGTGAACGACGGGTGGCCAAGGCGGTGGTGCCACAAGACGGTCGGGTGGGCTAGGGACCGACAAGAGCAAGACGCAACAACTAGACTGGACACAGCAACCTGACCGGACACAGCAACCTGACCGGACACAGCAACCTGAGCGGGCACATCAACTTTGTGGGGACGCAGTAACCTGACCGGACTCTGCTACTGGGGGGGAAGAAGCAACCTGACGAGATGCAGCTACGTGCGGGGTGGGAGTGTGCAGGACGAAGAGACCTGAATGGGACACTCTGGTGAATGTGGCAAGAACTGCCCCGGTGGAAGAGTCCGTATAGATCGTAGTCCTCCCTTGCGCAGGAAAAGTGACTCTGATCCCCCGGTCGTGAAGGTATCCAACACCCACCAAGTTCCGAGAGAACGAGGGGATGTAGAGACCAGAGAGGAAACTAGAGGGGACAGTTGGGCACGGGAGAGTGGTCGAGCTGCGAGCAACTGCTGGTCCTGAAGTAGGATCAGCCAGGGCAACTCGAACTAGAGCCAAAAGAGGTGTGACAGTGGTGTGGTCACGGAAGAAGCTATAAGACGCGCCGGAGTCCAGCGTGAAGGAAAGCGACGCAATAGCAATCATCACGGTTGGGCTAGTGACTACATAAGCACCTACACTGAAAGCACCGGGTAACCACTACGAAACAGACCGGGCCAGATCGGGGGAGCCGACTCAGGCCCAAAATGGTCACGATAGAGGTCGTCGAGGTGACTGTAACAGCACTGTGCAGAGTGGTCGGGACGCCAGCAGATAGTGCCAGCACCAGGGCCGGTTAGGATCCGGTACTGGCAGGGGCCGACGTCGCGGCCACCGCGACGAGCCCCCCCGGCTGGCTAGGCCGCTGCTGCAGCCAACGCTACCTGAACCACCAGGCCGCCACGGCTGCTGAGGGCGCCACAACTACTGAGGGCGGAGCAGCTGCTGAGGGCACCACTGCTGCTACAGGTGCCACTGCTGCTGTGGGCACCACTGCTGAAACTGCCGTTGGTGCTGGAGAACCCTAGTAGACGCCATGATAAAGGCTAGCAGGGTGCAGGATCGGCAGGCTAGGAGCGTCAGGGGCTACGGACAGCTGCACTGAAAAACGAGAACTAGGAGCGCCATGTGAAACTAGGCGAGGAACGGCCGGAGCACGGAGAAAAATGAACTAGGAGCGCCATGTGAAACTAGGCGCGGAACGGCGGGAGCATGGAGCAAATTGAACTAGTAGCGCCAGGTGAAACTAGGCGAAGAATGGCTGGAGCACGGAGCAAACTGAGCTAGGAGCAAAAGGAAAAACTAGGCCAAGGAGTAGCAGCCTCCTGCCGCGGTGGAACGGTGAACTCAGTGGAGGTACGGTAGGAAACAGGAAAACCGACGGTGAGAAAGTCTGGAAACGATGTGCTAATGCTCGAGGCACGGTAGAGCGTGGCACGCGCTTCGGGAAAGCTGTCGTGGGGTGCGCCTCAGGCTACTCTGGCTGACTGTGGCGCGCATGTCGCTAGGGAGCGGTCGCGCGTGAGCTGTGGTATGGAGCGCGTGCAGGCTGGGTAAGGGGCGCGCGGGTTGCGGTGTGGGGGGCGCGCGCAGGCAGGGTACGGGGCGCCCGCGGACTGTGGTAAAGGGCGCGCGCTGGCTGTAGCAGGGGCGTGCGCGGCTGGTTGGGCGTGGGGCCAGCGTGGCGGCTAGGGGCAAGGCGCACGGGCGACGCGCGGGCTAGGGGCAGTGCGCACGGGCGAAGCGACGGGAGGCTAGGGCGCGGAGGGCGCTAGGGTGCGGAGGGCGCTAGGGCGCATGACGGAGGCGCTAGGGCGCGTAAGACCCGAAGGCACTCAAGGGCGCGGAGGGCGCGAGGTAGGTTAGGCTATGCAAAGATTCTAAACCTACTCGTGATACCATCTCAGAAACAGAATGCAACAGAAAGGTGTGACTAGGAAAGCAACGGAGTACAAATATGAAAATCTAACTGAATTGTACTCACTAAGGAGCACCTCACTGCAGCCTACAACAAATTAAAACATTTGACACATATCCACCATCCACTGAAGACCATGGCGGCATGGTTTTGGTCATGGGATTGTCTAGTCCCTGCATGAAGCCAGTAGCACACGCAACCACACACTTGGTTCTGTACACCCACAACCCTTTCATACAGCACCACACACAACCCTCCTCATCACTCCCTCCCTCCCCCCCTCCCTCACTCACTCACTCCGTTCCCCACTCACTCCACCTCCACTCGACCCTATCCTAATCGCGTTCGCCACCTCCTCTTCCAAGTCATGCCCGTGCGTGTCGTCAATCTCCCGGTCAATCCTCCTCGCCATCTGATCCCCTGTCGCACCGCGCACCTCCTCGCGCAGAGCCTCCAATTCAGCAAGCACTTTGATCATGTTGGGGCGCAGGGCAGTGGGCATGGCGGTGCAGCTGAGAGCCAGGCGTGCCAGGCGCAGGATAATGTCTGGCGGGGCTTCCAGAGAGGGGTCCTTGAAGGTCACCCCGTCGTTGGCTGCTACGAACGGGGCCACCTGGTGGGGGGAGGGGTGGGAGGTGGAGGGGGGAGGTGAAGGGAGAGGAGACGAGGGCGTGATGGTGGGGAAGATGCATGGGGATGGGTGCCAGGCGCAGGATGACGTCTGGTGGGGCGTCTAGAGCCGGGCCGGGTCCTTGAAGGTCACCCCATATTTGGCTGCTGTGAATGGTCACCCACCTGGTGGGGGCAAGGTGGGAGGTGGAGAGGGAGAGGAGGGAGGGGAGGAGGGCGAAGGGGAGGAGGGATGACGGTGAAGAGATTGATTGCACTTTGCGCGATGAGGCAGATAAAGGACGAGTGGGGATGAGTGTGTGATGGTGTAGGTGCGGGTGTGCACATGCATGCACACAGAGAAATGGGGAACAGCGAATGCTAGTGCATGGGCATGGGCAACGAGATGAGCATCATGAGCATGGCATGAGCATGGCATGAGCATGGTCTGAGCACAGCAAGAGCGTCATGAACATGGGCATGTGCAGGAAGAGCAGGAGCAGGGAGGCGAGGGCGGGAGGGCACGGACCCATTGCTTGAGGTTGATCTGGTTGTCGTCCGAGTTGTAGATGGCCTTGCGTGCCGTCAGGATCGTGAGCATCACCACTCCAAAGCTATTAGGGCGGACGGCACGAGAGGTATGGGAGGCACGACAGGAGAGAGACCAAGGGCGGGATATGATGAGGGGATGGAAGAGCACAGAAGGTAGTGCAAGAAGGGAGCACATGGGAACATTAAGGAATAGAAGAAACTTGCTAATATAAACCACACGTGCACACGTCACCCTTAACTGTACGCATCGCCCATACCTGTGAACGTCAGCCATAGGAGTGGCCTTCTGAGACTTGAAATACGCCGGGTCCACATAGCCCGGTGTGCCCATCACCCGCGTGGCTCCCACGGTCGTGCCCTCGCCCATCCTCACCAACCCAAAATCGGCTACCTTTGCCTGCCGTGGATGGGACGTGCAGCCAACAAAGAGGAAGCAATGAGAGACGGACTCTTTTTGATATATTTGCTGCATAGGAGCCTTGTGCAGCACATGCGAGTGTGTTGTGCACCTGCATGAACCTGAAGTGCTGACTGGAGGTGCTGACTGGAGGTGCTGATAGGAGGAGGTGCTGACTGGAGGAGGTGCTGACTGGAGGTGCTGACTGGAGGTGCCCAGGCAGGCACTACTCTACATAGCTGTATCTTTATGCAAACACTCACCTGCATGTTCCTATCAATGAGGATGTTGGCGGGCTTGATGTCGCGGTGCACGATGCCAAAGCTGTGCAGATACTGCAACCCCTCCGCCACTCCGATCATCACATCCAAGCGCTGCAGCAGAGAGAGCGGCTGGGCGGCACCTGAAGTGGGGAAGGAAGGAAGGAACAAAAGTGACACACGGGGAAGAGGAAAAGGCAGGGAGGTGCGGTGAGTTTTAGGCTGGGAGTTATTACCCAAACAAGCAAGCCTCACACAAGTCACCAAATCACCACAAGAGAGTAAACCAAGCGCTTGTGTGCAAATAAGGAGCACAAGAGAGGACAAGTGAGGAGAAAAGAGGCAGGACAAGAGAGGGCAAGGCAAGTAAGTAAGTAGTGGGTGAGTTGAACACACCGGGGCCGAGCCAGCGTTCGAGGTCGCCGTTGGGCATGAACTCATAGATGAGGATCTGCTCCGTCTGCTCCGTGGCCTCGTTGACGTCGATGCAGAACCCCAGCAGCCGCACCAGGTGTGGGTGGTGCTTCGATGCCATCTCGTTCACCTGCACGCGCACAGGCACATGGCGAAGGGGAGTAGGAGGGAGGTGTGGGAAGCATTGGATTGGAACATGGACACGTGGATTGGATAGGTGGTGTTTTGAGACGTCTCAAAAACTTGAGGACAGGCAGGAGCGAGAATTATAAACAGATAGGGAGTATGGTGAGCACGAGAGGTGGCTGGGCTCAGGTGCGGATTGGTTCCAGTGGCACAGTCCGTTAGCCCCTCGTATCGTAACAAGCTCCCATCCCGCTATCCCCACCTCCCTCCAGAAGTCCTTGAAAGCACATGCTGGTTCCAGTGTTATTAAGCAAAACAAACTCCCCTCACACACATACCCCACTGTTCCCAGCCCCCATTAATCGTCATTCCCCACTCCACTGCCCTCATCTCGCGGCAAAAGTCACAGGTGAGCAGTGGGATCGCAATTGCTAGTCCCATCCACACCCCATGCCTCTCACCTCCCGTCGGAAGTCATTGGTGAGCACTTTGGCGCGCTTGACAGCCCAGAGCATGGAGGGGTCGGCAGGGTCCTCAGCATGGTACACGTCCCCAAACCCCCCGCTGCCGATCTTGTTGGCCTCCGCCCACATGCCCGTTGCCGCTGCCAGCACGTCCAGCCGGTACTGCCGACACACCGCCGGTCCCGCCGCCTGCGCTGGCCCCGAGGGACCCTTGGACCCACTCGCACTCCCTGTAGAGAGGGGAGGGGGAGCGGGGTGTGCGAGAGGTTTGCATGAGAGGAGTGGGCGGAGGAGTTTTGTATTGAGGTATGCGTTGATCAGATCAGACTTGAACGATATTGTTGGCCTCAGTTCACATGCCCGAGGCCGCTGCCAGCACGTCCAGTCGGTGCTGCCGACATACCGTCGAACCCTCCACGGCCCCTGGTGCTGCCTTTGCCGACCCCAAGGGACCTGGACCCACTCGCACTGGCTGAGGGGAGGAGCTGGGAAGAGGGGTGGTGGAGAGGGGTGAGGGCGAGGGTTGCAGGAGAGGAATGGGCGGAGGCGTTTCAAGGCGTCTGTTGAGTCAACTCACTCGTGCTGGTACTTTGCTAGATCCTCGGGACATCTCAAGAGCTCACTCCCACAAGTCACCGTCCTTGTCCTGCCGGTATACCCCCACATGAGCTCACTCAGAAACACACTGTCATATTCCCGTACCCGAGGAGAAAAACCATTACGGACCTACCATTGAGCCGACTCAAAATGACACTTTTGAGAAATATCGGAAGTGCCTTCCATATACCTTGAGCAACCCACCCACCACTCAAAAGGAGACTAATCCAACAACCCTTATGTACCTGAAGCACCAGCGCCAGCACCAGCAGCGGCCGCAGCAGATGCAGCAGCTGCAGCAGCGGCATCATTGTCAAGCTGCGAGAGCGGCTTTGGTGCCTTTCGCCGGCGGAAGAAGAGCAGCGGCAGCAGCAGCAGCAGTGCGAGCACGGAAACACCCGCCACGGCAATCCCCGCAATGGCCCCCACTGATAGCCCCGCGGAGGAAGGAGGAGGCGGGGGAGCAGGCGATGGAACGAAGGGAGGTGAGGTAGGAGGGGAAGGAGGGGGCGGAGAGGGCGGAGGGGAAGGAGGAGGGGGCGTTGGTGAACGGGGGGGAGGTGACATGGGGGGAGCGGGTGGTGGGGGTGAAGGGAGTGGTGGTGGTGGGGAGATTGCTGGAGGGGGCCTGACTGGTGGTGCTGGTGGTGGGAACTTGACCACAGCTGCAATACAGTCAAGGGGAGGATGATGTTGGCGAGGGGAGGGGGGGTTGGGAAGGGACGAATGGTGGGGGGTGAGGGGTGGGGTTCGAGCAAAGAAAGGGAAGCTGAGCACAACACAATCACAAAGAGGCAGGGGGAAGAGACATTTGCAGACGATGATGCTGCTGCGGGCGGGTAAAGAGATGACGTTTGCGGCGCCTAAAAAACTGCGGGTTAAGAGACGACCTTTGAGGCGGTTAAAGAGTCGTCACTCACTCTGCACGAAGCAGAAGATGCAGAAGTCGGAGCACTTGATGCAGTACGGCACGATGATGCTGTTGCCCGTGGTTTCCATCGCTCCACACTGCACCTTCTCACTCGGTGGACACGTCACCAGCCCTGGAGGGACCTGTGGCGTGTACTCACTGCGAGGAGAGAGTGAGTGAGGGAGGAGGGGGAGGAGGAGGGGGAGGAGCAGAGGGGGAGGAGCAGGGGGGGACGGAACGGAGAGGGGAAACGAGAGGAGTCAGGCAAAACCGATTCTCAGAAGGAAGGGTGGAGAAGAGAAGGAGGCGAGAAAGGGAGAGGTGACAAGCGGAATAGCTGCAAGAAGAATATGGCACCGACGAGAGGGAAAGGAAAGAGGGGCTGTGTGGGCGGGGGTTTTGAGGTGAGAGGAGTAAGGTGCACATACGGAGTGAATTACTGGTACGACCAATAGAACGATGATAGAAGGGGAGAGAGAAAGAGAGAGATATTTTTGAGAGACAAACGATGGTGAGTGGTGCGTACAGGTATTCGAGCTTGGTGAGGGCCATCATGGAGACAGGTAGGTAGCCGGTTAGCATGTTCTGAGACACATTGCTGCCGTGACCCGTGATGATTCACGCAGGGTGGATGGACGGCGGATGCACAGCGAGCAAGTGGCACCACCACGAGCAGCATTGCCGGCACCGTTGGCACCGTGGAGGAGGAGACGATGGGTGCGGCGCGTCAACACACACACACACACACACACACACACACACACACACACACAAACACACACACACACACATTCACTCACACGCACACACACACATGCGCGCGCGGTATTGTGGAAAAGGGGTGCGGGAAGTGGTGGATGAGATGGGAGGGAGAGCGAGAGCAAGGAAGCAGAGAAATTGAAAGACAAGCGGGCACACAGGCACGCGCAGTGCGGGCATGGACGCAGCAGATGTTAGGCAAACAGGTGAACTTGAATGCATGCATAGAAAAAGGTGACTTCTGAGTCGACTTGAAAGTCACCTCATAGAGGCACGTGCAGTGAGGGCATGGATGCATGCAGCAGGTGTTAGGCAAACAGGAGCCTGCTGAACGCGAATGCACGTGTAGGGAAGAACCATAAGATACGGGCCCAGGGGTGGGCTGTGGTTGTTTCTTTGCTGTGATGTTACTTGTCTCTTTAGGGGTGGGCTGGGGCTGTGGTGATGGCACTGACAAGGTGGTGATGGCACTGACAAGGTGGTGAGGTTGACGAGGCTGCCTATGGTCGTTGGAATGGCTCCCGTCAACATGTTGCTCGCAACACCACTGCCGATGCATCGCATGTATCATGTCCCATGCAACATGCCCCATGCCCCATGCATGCCCCATGCCCCGTGACCCGTGACCCGTACCCCGTGTCATCAAAAGAGCCAAGCCAGTATTGCAGGGACCACAGCAAAGAGTTGTGTCAGGGAACAGGACATAGCAGGAGATCTAGGAGGAGGCAGTGGGGACGAGGAGAGGCAGCAAGAGGATGCGGTCAAGGGATGTCAAAGGGGCGACGGGGCAGGAAAAGGGCTATGGCGGCGAGGGTTACAGGGGCACCGGGGATGTGAATGATGGTGGGCGCCTGGGTGCGCCAGTGCATTGTGCACACGCATGCCTGTGGCTCACACTCGGGCTGACTTTTGAGTCGACTCAAAAGTCAGCTCGCCTGGGAGCGCCAGTGCAATGTGCACAGCACACGCATGCCTGTGGCGCACACTCTTGACGTGTGCATTGCATCGCAAGTTCGTGAATGCGCCTACGCATGTGCATGTGCATGTGTAACAGCGTATGTTTGTGCACGTGCATGGAGCACATGCACCGCAAGCATATGTGCATGGCGTGACTGACAAGTGGTTGAGAGCCTGGAGCAGCCCAGTGCGTGTGAGAAGGACCCCCGTTTTACTGTTGAGGCGGCTCACAAGTGACAAGCATGGGCATCGGCATGTGCTTGGGCATGGGCATGGGCATGGGCATGGGCATGGGCATGGGCATGGGCATGGGCATGGGCATGGGCATGGGCATGGGCATTGGCATGGGCATGGTGTGACTGACAAATGGTTGAGAGCGTGGAGCTTCCAAACGTCACGGGGAATGGACCCAGTGAACTGGTTGTACTGAATGGCTCTGCGGACCAAAAGGGGTGCACGCACGGGCAGAGAGAAAGAGGAGGACAATGCTGTACGCAGAAGGACGTGGGCATTTTTCTTTTGAGAGTTCTCAAAAGGACGTGGGGTGGGGCTAAGCCACAAGCTTGTCACTCGTCCTTGTTGCTCGAGTTTCATCTGGAAAGGCAGACTGACGGACACAGCGTTACACAGCGCGTTACAGAGAGTGACTCAGTGTTACACAGTGTGACATGGCACAATAGAGTGTAACATGGTAGGTAACACGGCATGGCTCACATGTTACGCAGCATGGGTGGCAGTGGCAGCATGTCTCACAGCTGCTGCAGGGCGGTACAGCTGGTGATAACATTCAGAGACCCATTCAGTTGATTGTTCCACATGTAGCTGCATGGGGGGAGCAAGTGAGTGAGTGAGACGGCAGTCGGGCGAGCGGACATTGGGGCATGGCGGAGGGGAAGATGAGAGGAAAGGTGGGGGAGGGGAAGATTGGGACGGGTGGGGAGGGGAAGATTGGGAAGGGTGGGGAGAGGAAGATTGGGAAGAGTGGGGAGAGGAAGATTAAGAAGGGTGGGGAGAGGAAGATTGGGAAGGGTTGGGAGAGGAAGATTGGGAAGGGTGGGGAGAGGAAGATTGGGAACAGTGGGGAGAGGAAGATTGGGAAGGGTGGGGAAGGGTGAGGAGGGACGGAGGTTAAGGAGGGTGGGCGAACGGGGGGGGGGGGGGGGGGGGGGATTGAGAGAAAAAAAACAAATTGCTTGATCACCTGTTGCGAAAAAAAGGAGTGAATGGTGGGATGAGAGACAGGAAACAAAGGAAGATGGGCGAGGAGCAAAGAGGAAGAGCAGAGAGGGGAGGAGCAGAGGGAGGAGGAGCAGAGGGAGGAGGAGCAACGCACAAGCCTTGCAGGTTGACGAGGTTGGAGAAGGAAGCAGGGATGGAGCCGGTGAGCTGATTGCCGCCCAGCTGACTGATGCTCGTGGAGGGGAGCGAGGAGCAACAGAGGCCGGTAGTGGAAGGAGAAGATAGGAGGTGAGAAGAGAGAGGGGAGAAGAGGTGGGGGTGCGGAGGAGAAGAATGTGGGGAGTGTTGAGGGGTGCAAGGTGGTGGAGGGAAGTCAAGGCAATTGACGAGAACTGGAGAGGAAGCTGGCAGGAGATGGCATGGAGCGGAGCAAAGGAGAGGAGCGAAAGACCGGAGTGGAGATGGCATGGAGCGGAGCAAAGGAGAGGGGCGAAAGACTGGAGTGACGAGAGAAGAGGGAAACGCTACGGTGCATGGGAAAAGGGAGTACCATGGGAAACACCTGCAAGCCAATGGAACTGGTCTTTTTTGGCGCTGCTGTCATGTATGATGACGTTGAGGGGGGCCATGAGGTGACCCAGACTGAGGTGATTTTTGAGTCAACTTGAGAGTCACTTCTGGAGGTGCGAGCTTACATGGCGGTGAGGCGGCTGAGGCTACCCAGAATGGCAGGGATGCTGCCCTGGAGGGCGTTCTCCCGCGCATAGCTGGTGGGGCCATGGGTGGGGTGATGGGTGGGGTGATGGGCAGGGCGATGGGTGGGGAGAAACGAGGAGAGAGATGGGGGTTGAGTCATGCATGAATAGGGTTGAGTGCTGGGTAATGAGTGCTGCGTCCTCCGTGTTGCGTAGTGTGTGGAGAGAGTTTCGGGACTCGTGTTGTATGTAGGCAAGTCAAAGCATTGGGGGCTGGCTGCATGGTAAGCAGTTCATCATGCTGCGAGGATGCTATCTATCATGCTGCTGAGTCTGTTTGTTTTTGTGTGCGTGTGTGCGTGCGTGCGTGGGTGTGTGTGTGTTTGTGTGTGTGTGTGTGTGTGTGTGTGTGTGTGTGTGTGTGTGTGTGTGCGTGCTGTGTGTGTGTGCTGTGTGTGTGTGTGTGTGTGCGTGCTGTGTGTGTGTGCTGTGTGTGTGCTGTGTGTGTGCGTGCTGTGTGTGTGCGTGCTGTGTGTGTGTGCTGTGCTCTGTGTGTGTGCTGCCTCCATGGACTCACAGCGCCTGCAGATACTTCAAGTTGCCCAGGCTCGAGTGCAGCTCGCCTGTAAGACCCATGTTGCCTGCCTCCCTGCCATGCCACACGCCAGCCATGCCACACGCCATGCCACATGCCGCATGGATGCCCGCATGGCAGGGCATATTGAGGGATGCGTGCTCTCAATTGGTGGTGAAGCGTGGGCAGGGAAGCATGCCAAAGGGAACAAGCTCATTGCATGATAGCTTGCTGCTACATGGACAGAGGACGGCACATTGCAAAAAGAAACATGGCACATGGCGCATCATGGCTCATGGCACAAGGGCACATGGGCACATGCAGGTGGAGCCAGCAGGGGGGCGGCTCACAGGTACTCGAGGTTATTTTTGAGGCGCCTCAAAAAGCAAGCAGGGGGGGAAGCTCACAGGTACACGAGGTTGGACAGGGTACCAAACTGTGAGGGGAACGACCCTGTGAAGTAGTTGCGCCCTACCTCCCTGCTCATGCACGAATGGGAAGGAATGCAGGGCACGGCAGGGAATACTGAGGATTCTTCAAAAGATGCTGTGAGGGGAAGAACCCATGAAGTTAATGCGTCCTACCCTGCTCATACACGACTGAGGGGGCGCATGGCGTGACATGCCACCATGGTCTCTATCTTCTCCCTATCGCATGGCGTGACATGCCACCATGGTCTCTATCTTCTCCCTATCGCATGGCGTGACATGCCATCATGGTGTCAACATCTCCCTCACTCTCGAACCCACCTATCCCGCCCTCCCCCAAAGTAGTCGTGCGACCTGTGCTCTTAAGCCTACCAAGGCCGCACTACTTTTGTTGGTTGCAGCATAACCTTGCAATCATATGCACCATGGGTGCATTCATTGGTGCATGCATGGGCGCATGCATGGGTGCGTGAATAAACGAATGAATGGGTGCATGCATGGATGCATGCATGGGTGCATGCATGAATGACATACAGCACGGTGAGGGCCTTGAGCCCATAGATGGCAGGGGGAATGGAACCCGAGAACGAGTTGTTGTACAGGCCCCTGCCAGGGAGGGGTTCACAGATAGAGGGAAACAGGGACGCAGGTGCTTGCCAGTCCATGCCAGTGCATGTGGGTGCATGGAGGGGCAGGGCGAAAGGCAGGAGCAAGAGAGAGAGGGAACTGAGGCGAGGCAAGGTACTCTTCAGTGTGTGCTGGCAGGCGCAAGTTGCATCCATGCATGCATGCGACTGACAGCTGCTCGAGGTTGGAGAGCGCGGAGATGGTGCTGGGAATAGCGCCAGCCAGTCGGTTCTGAGACACCGACCTGCCATGCGTGATGGCGGTGTGGGGGGCGAGGGCGGGGAGGTGGGAGTGCGAGTGTGGTAGTGGCGAAATGAGGGTGGTGAGAGTGTGGGAGGGGTGGTGGCTGGCGAGAGTGATGGAGGTGAAAGAAGGGGCACGGATGATGACGGGATAGGGTCGTGGAAAGTGTGAGAAAAGCAATGAGAGGGGCAGATGAAGGCTACGCGGGAAATGATGGCAATGAGGGCAATGAGGGAAATGAAGTGCGGGCGTACAGGAAAGTGAGCAAAGAGAGCTTCCCAATAGCAGCAGGCAAGCCTCCTGAGAAGTTGTTGGCGGAGAGATCACTGCCAAAAGCATCACATGGAGTGAGTAGAAGGAAGGGAGGGAGCATGGCTGAGGCGAGTTAGATATTGACTGCATGCTGGCCGGCCGGCCTGTGACATGATGCTTGCATGCCTTGACAGGGTAGGTGATAGAGCGAGGAAGCACAAGAGACATAGGAGTTGTACGTTGGGTGGGGTTTGGCTCTTGTGGCCAGTGGGTGAGGTGCAGCTCGGCGTGGTGTGACGTGGTGTGGTGTGTTGTGGTGTGCCGTGTCTTGGTGAGGTGGCTCACAAGGATTCGAGTGAGACAAGGTTGCCAATGGTGTCTGGAATGGAACCACTCAGCATGTTGTTGTAGAAGCCGCTGTTGGGATTCGTGCACGCACACACCGACACAAGCACACACACATGGATACACACACGCGCACATGCATACACGCACGCGCAAACACACACATGCACACGCACGCGCGCGTGTGCGCGCATACACACACACACACACACACACACACACACACACACACACACACACACACACACACACACACACACACACATAGAGCTGAGCATGCACAGGCTCGCGCCTGTTGCCACACGCGTGAATGCAGCGAGCAAGGCTGCTCAGCACAGGATCTATGCGCGAACGTTCGGAGAATTCTCAGAAATGACGCAGACACAGGCGGCATGAAGCAACACGCATACTCACAGCTTGGAGAGTCGTGTGGCAGCTCCCACGGATGATGGCAGGAACCCTGTGAGCGACTGCGACAAGAGGCCCCTGGCAGCCGCGCAGGGGCGGAGGTGTGGAAGGGGAGGGACGAGAGGGGGAGGCGATGCATGTGTCAGTCAGTCCCACAGGAGAGTGACAACAGGTGACACAGGCGGTCTCTTTGAGTGACTGGGATGGGATATAAGAGGCCCCTGGCGGCCGAGCAGGGGCGGGCGGAGGTGTGGAGTGGGGGACGAGAGGAGGAAGGAGGGAGCGGGTGGGCGGATGAGAGATAAGAGAATGAAAGGGTGCGAGCGAGAAAGAATGGTGAGGTTGGATGCTACCATGCCTTCCTATGATGTGCCCCACATGCTGGTGAGCATGCCATGACATGGCCATGCCATACCACGCCACGCCACGCAATGCCACACCATGCCATGCCATGCCATGCCACACCTTGCCATGCCATGCCATGCCATGCCACACCATGCCATGCCATGCCATGCGCGCACATGGAGGTGAGCATGCCGTCCTGGTCGCATGTGACGAACACGGCCTTGCTGCAGTTGGAGGTGGCGTCCCATCCGCTGAAACTGCGCTTCCATGCCGCCTGGCACTCCGTCAGAAACGGCACTGCCGGGGAAGAGCAGGGGGAGGGGACGTGGGGGACAGGGAGGTGGGGGGAGTGGGGTGGGAGGACGGGAGTGGGAGAAACGGGGAGAACGGGAAAGAAGGGTGGGGTAGGGTGAAGCGAGAGGGTGAAGAAGGGGAGGACGGGGAGAGTGTGGAGTTGGGGATTGCAAGGGGGAGGGGGGAAGGTAGGATTCTTGCTTTAAGGTTTTTGCGGGGTAAAAGACGGTGCATTCTACGATGACTACTTTTTACGAAGAGAAGCAGGTGGGATGCGGAGGCCTATACTTCAGCAGGTTATTATGTATGACTCCATGCCATGGGCTGTGGCGGCCGGAGGCCGGGTATAAGATGGTGCATTGCATTCCATGATTTCTATGATGCCGCGCAACATAGTAGCAACGACCTAGAAAGCGCGTGTAAGCTTACTGCTATCCCGGCCGGACTAGAGAACCTACAATGACTAAGCCGGGCACGAAGAACGCGGCCCGACGCACTCGCGCTGCGACCTGGCCCGGAGCTAAGCGCGCGCTAGTAGTGGCGGCAATGGGGAGAGCAAAAATACGGGCGACAGAATCAGCGTGGCAGAGTCTGAGGGGCATCAAAAGTCACTCACGCTGCGACTTGGCCCAGAGCTGAGCGCGCGCGAGTGGCGGGGAGCGCACACATGCGGGTGATAGAACCATCGCGGCGACGACGGCGGAGAGCAGGCGGAGATGGCTCAGCGGAACCATCCGCGGCTGGCGCGGCATGGGCGGCGGCGGCGGAGGAGGAGGAGGCGGCGACCCGGTGATATCACGCCCAATGTCAATAATTTTACTTATGGTGGTGCAGAATTGAGGGTTCTCGTTTTATTGAAAGGGAACGCTGGGTGCTGCTGACGGAATGTTCACGGCTCCCGTTTCTTCACTTTGCCTGGATCTCCCAAAACGTACCTAACTTTTATCACAAGGAAAATTTCGCTTCCCACTCGGAAGTACGGCAGTGTTTACAGGGAAAGCACACGTGTCAACATGTAAGGAATTTTCTCGGCATTCCTTACGGAGCCGACTACATCGCGTACAGCAAACAGCCGATTGTTCGCCCGTTACTGCTAACGGAACTTCGCCGACTTCGCGCGCACTGTTTTGCCAAACCTCGCACTGCTGGCATGGCCGTATCGGCCTACGCTTCGGGACTAGCCCGAGCCTCGTTCCAGCGTAGCACTAGCAAGCTCGCACGCACCGCGTTACCGTTTGCATGTTTCGCGTATAAATGTTCGCTCATGCCTTCGCTCACATTTTGTACTCGTTTGACACCTTAGTGCAATTCTCGCTACCTCGATTCATTGCACCCGTAACACTTGGTATCAGAGCCCCTTTCTTTCGGACCGCGCATCTCCGCACACCAGGAAATCAACTTTTGATTTTTCACTCGAATGGACTCACGCACCTTAGCCCCTAGGAGCCGCTGTCCTCGCGTTCTCTCGTAAACGCGTGCAGCCACGACTGCGCCTAGACTAAGACGAGCCGACGCCCTTCGGCATGGCCGAAAATATCGACATCACCACTCTCACGCAGGAGCGCTTGAACGATCTGCTGCGACAACTGCACGAAAGCTCCGAGGAAATCGCGGCATTGACGGCAGAACGCTCATCACTGCAAAATGACCTCCTGAGAGCACAATCTCAAGCACCTGGCACTCCGATTCAACCCGCACCCTCAACGTCACAACACGGGGGTGTGGGGCAACCCGCGAGCGCGGCCAGTGATGGTGTCGTCCGCCCCGACGGAGACGACGACCACGGCACGACACACCCCAGAGCGACGCCTGCGGCCCCAAGTCAGCCTCGCGTCACGATTTCGGCACCAACCCACGATTCGGGACTGCCGTCACCGATGCCGCTGAAGCCGCAGCGCCCGCCATGCTTTGACCCGAGTCAACGGGGTGGTCCTACCGTTCAGGCGTGGTTGTTCACAATGAACGTCTTCTTCGACGCCAACTACGTCTCGGAGGACTCGGCGAAGATTCGATACGCCGTGTCGTTGCTGCGAGGACCCGCCATGGACTGGTGGCGTGTCATCGTCACGAAGCCGACCGACTACGCGACACTACCGACACGGGAAGGACAAACCGGACCCTGGGCGCCGTCGTATTTCGTGGAGGTGCCCCAGTATCGCACGTGGGACGCGTGGTGCGCAGGTCTGCGCGCTCGATTTGAGCCAATCGCGGCCTCGATCTCGGCGCGACAGAAGCTCCGCACTTGGCGCCAACTCGGTTCCGTCCAGGATTACACGAGCGGATTTCTGGCGCTATGCGAGCAGGTGGGCTACACGCATGAGAGCGAACGCATCGACCGCTACATCGGCGGCCTGAAGCAGGACATCGCTCAGGAAATCCAGCTTCGCGGCGTCACTGAGTTTCAGGAAATTCTCGCTATGGCGGAGAAGCTCGACTTCTTTCGCCGACCGAGACCGGGGTCCTACGGAAACAACACCTGGGGACATCGGCCTCGTGGGACGAACGAAAGCGCCACGATACGCGCCGTCGCCGCAAATGCCGCTGCCGCACCGTTCAAAGGGCGCTGCTTTGCGTGCAATCGGCCGGGACATCGCAAGAGCGAATGCCCGGAAAACGCTAAGGGAAAGGGGGAAGCTGAGCAGCAGACACAGACCAAGCAGCAGGGAAACGCTGGAAGTCAGTAGCAGACGGGCCCTCTACTGACAGGTCACGCCGCTCGCCCGACCCAACCGACCCTCACCGAGTGATTGTGCCGGTTCACGCAATCGACCACACCCGGCCGAATAAGGAGGGTACCACGGTAGATAGCCCTATACTGCTCAGTGGGAAAATTGGGACGGACTTAGTTAAAATCTTCGTAGACGGGGGAGCCAGCCACAGCCTCATTAACACTGCTACAGCACGAAAACTGCGACTGCCACTGGACCGATGCTTACCTGAGATCGACGCACGACTGGTAGACGGCACGCCGCTGGCGATACGGGAACGCGTAGACCGAGTTCGGATTCGATGCGGGGGTAACTTCACGTTTAGTCAGGAAATGCTCGCAACGACCCTCGACGGAACCGACATTTTACTCGGGCGTGATTGGCTGCGACGACACAATCCGCGAATTGACTGGACGACGGGTGACTGCACCGTGCGAGTAAACGGTAACAACATCGCCTTACCTCGCTGGGGCTCGCCTGAGTCTTCGTCGGTGCGTGTCAACGCAATCACGATGAAACGCGCTGTTGCGGCCGGAGCTGACGTGTACGCGGTTGACATTCGGGAAGCCGAGGCAGCAGACAAGGGGGGCGATTTACAGAAACTGCTGACCGACGTACCGAGTGACCTGGCGGCACTGTTAAAACAGTACAGTGACATTTTCCCGGATGACTTACCGACGGGACTGCCACCTCAGCGACCGCACGATCACAGGATAGAACTGGAACCGGGGGCACAGCCAACAGTACAGCGACAGTTCCGACTGACCCAACCCGAACTAGACGAACTAAGGAAGCAGCTCGATTACCTGCTCGAAAAGGAATTCATTCGCCCTAGTTCGTCGCCCTTCGCCGCACCAATACTGTTCACACCAAAAAAGGACGGGGGTTTTCGCATGTGCATCGACTACAGGGCACTGAACAGGGTTACCATCAAATCCCGTTACCCCATCCCACGAGCCGACGAACTGATCGACCAACTGCGCACAGCCCGGGTTTTCTCGAAAATCGACCTCCGAGGAGGCTACCACCAAATCCGCGTCAACCCACCCGACTGCCCTAAAACCGCATTCCGAACACGCTACGGATCTTTCGAATACACCGTCATGCCATTCGGACTGACCAACGCCCCCGCCACTTTCCAAATGACCATGAACGAAGCATTCCGCCCGCTTTTAGATAAGTGCGTCATCGTTTATCTGGACGACATACTGATTTACAGCCCTGACAGAGCACAGCACTTACAAGACATCGAAGCAGTTTTTAAAATCCTGAGTGAGAACCGCCTACTGACCAAAGCATCGAAGTGTGAGTTTTTACAGGACCGCCTGGAGTTTTTGGGACATGTTATTTCAGCTGCAGGAGTGGAAATAGACCCGAAGAAAATTGCGACGATTCAGGCTTGGCACGCGCCGACCAACTTGACCGAATTGCAGAGTTTCCTGGGGTTCGTCAACTACGTGCGCCGGTTCGTCCCCGACATGGCGAAGTTGACTGCCCCGTTGACCGACCTGCTGAGGAAGGGGGTTGAGTACACGTGGGGGGAGAAAGAGCAAGCTGCCTTCTCGGCCCTCAAAACTATTTTGTGCTCCCCGCCCGTCCTTCACATTGCAGATCCCCACCGTCCGTTCGAACTCGTCACCGACGCAAGTGACATCGCTGTGGAAGCAGTACTGTTGCAGGACTTCGGGAACGGCCTCCAGCCAATCGCGTACGAGTCCCGCAAACTGCACCCGCCCGAACGTAACTACCCGATACACGACCGCGAGATGCTAGCGATCGTGCACGCGTTCAAAGTTTGGCGGTGTTACCTGACTGGCGCCGACGTGACAGTACGGACAGACCACCGCTCGCTACAGTACCTTCGCGCCCAACCGAATCTCAACCCACGACAGATTCGCTGGTTGGACTATCTCGAGTCCAATTTTCACTACACCGTTACGTACAAAAAGGGTGCATCCAACATCGCCGACGCTCTCACCCGCCCCACCGCCCAACTCCATGCCATCCTACTCGCCCAGACCAACCCGCTTTTAACTGGCCTATTCACCCACGGATACCGCACCGACCCATTTTTCACGACCGGAAATTCACAGCAACTGGCAGAAGCAAAAGGAGTCTATTACGTAAGAGCAGGCACCAACCGCATTTGGGTACCCGCGTACTCACTACTGAGGGAGCTGCTACTAAAGGAGGCACACGACGGGATTACCTCGGGACATTTCGGGGTAGAAAAAACGCGACAGCAACTGCAGCGGTACTATTACTGGCCGGAGCTGTTGACCGACGTACAGCAGCACGTGGGCTCGTGCCCGACGTGTCAGGTGATGAAGAGTTCAAGGAAGCGGAAGGCGGGTCAATTGCAGCCGATCCCACCGCCCGAACGCGCCTGGCAGCAAGTAACCATGGACTTCGTCACAGGGTTACCTTCGAACCCTGGGGGTAACGACGCAGTGATGGTCGTCGTGGATAGGCTGACGAAGATGGCACACTTCGCTGCGTGCAAAAATTCGATCTCAGCCGAGGAGACCGCTCGCCTGTTCATCGCAGCCGTTGTTCGCCTGCACGGGATACCAGCAGCAATTATCAGCGACAGGGACACGAAATTTACCAGCAACTTCTGGAAGAACCTCTGGGAGCAGTTCGGGACCAGGCTACAGTTCAGTTCGTCGTACCACCCCGAGACCGACGGCCAAACGGAGCGGACGAATCAGACGATGGAGCAGTTGATTCGTGCCACGTGCGACGACCCCACGACCTGGGAGCAGCAGCTGCCGCTGATCGAGTTCGCGTACAACAACGCCACATCAGCCACGACGCAGCAGTCCCCGTTCTACCTGAACTATGGGCAGAACCCCACAGTGCCCATGACGCCGAGTCCGGACAACCCAACGCCACGCGCACAACAATTCGCCGAAATCCTGCAAGCTGCCCGCGCCAGAGCCGCCGAAGCAATAAAAAAGGCCAACGTCATCGCTAAG